ATAAATGCATGAAGGATTAGTTCTATGTCAAACTGTGAGTACTCAGGAGATAGTGATGCCTTTGAGTAAAGCTGCATCTGGGAAAGTGGAAACTAATGTAAGTTTATTGCCAAACAATTCCCTTAAAATGATCTGAAACTAAACTGGAATTTTAAAAAATAAGTATGGAAATGAATGACTCTGCAAAACATGAGCACACACACACAGAAATGCACAAAATGCGCTCACACACATGCACAAACATAATGGACACCATTCTCTCTCCTCACAATGTGACCATGCAGAAATGGCCATCGTTTTGAGAAACAGTATGGTCAGCACATAAGTCAGCGTATGCAAGCTCATATGCACTTACATGCACTCTTGATGCTGCTCTCTAATGAATTAAATCACACAAGAGTGTTGTTAGGAGTATACAAAGTGAAAACATACAAATAGTTTCTAAAACCAAAGAACTTCATAAAAGGGAACACCTAACATTGAAATGGTGAAAGTGAAATGGTGGTTTAAAGCCTGGGTGCTTTTATTATGGAGCATTTTGTGCTTCTCCAAAAAATGACAACGACAATGACATGAATACATTATTCTTATGGCAATTTCCAAGCCGTATTTTATGTTTAGTACTATAAACTGCCGTTAGGAATTTATGACAAGCAGCCTGAATAAGTTTGGCACACTATTGTCCTGCTGATGGCTCTTTTAAATGACGTCTTGCACATTTTCCTCTGTGGCAGCTGGAGCCTGTGGGCAGTAAGCAGAACTACAACAACTTCACATATGACCGCAGCAAGATACAATGTCCTTCAGAGGTAAATCTACACCCTAAAGGAACCCACACAGACCACAGGGTCATGATGTATTGATCTGAAGGTGGTGATTCAGCTGGATTGATTTTGAAAAGTTATAATTGATTGTAATTGAGTGTTATAATATTCAAAGTACGAGCTTTTTTTTTGCCCAAAATAAAATTCTCAGGTTATTTTTCATGTGTAAACCAAACCACCACCCCTCCTGATAAAATGAGTACGGAGCCCTGCTGGTGACATCGCGTATAATTAAAAATAACACATGGCCACAACTTAGTAAGGTGTGGGAACGAGGTAATTAAGTTACAGCCGCGACTTACTAAGTTGAGGCTACGCATTAGGATCTCGTTCCCACACCTTACTAAGTCATGGCCACGTGTTATTTTTATTTATACGGGATGTCACCAGCAGGGCTCTATTAATGAGTGTATTATTTCATAAATCCATATTCCTCTATGGTGTGAATAGTTCCTCCTGTCAAAATAATTAAATCACATTTTGAGATAATGCACTGAAATGTTTCCTAAAGAATGAAAATTGAGTCAAACCATTGCTGAGGGGGGAGCCCTGTTTCATCTGTCCTCCTTTACACCCCTTTCAGTGTCTCTTATGTCTGCATCCTTTAGGAGCATCCTTTCATCTTCACCCGAATGAATAGTCTCGCCACTGAACCCACCGGACTCGTGGTGACCACTTCAGATATCGTCATGCCTCTTACCGCCGACGACCACGAGAACCATGTGCCCTCCTGGACGGCAGCTGTGCTGGCAGTGGCCGGCGTGATGATCGGTGTGGCAACCACCTGGATTGTCATGCACTGCAGGGAGCGAAGGAAGAGGCAGAAAAAACAGAACCTAAGTTCACTGGAGATGAAAGGAACTCCATTATAAGATATCTTATAATGCATGCACAAGAACACCTTCACACGTTGGCTTCACTTTAGAATGTACAAGGAAAACAGGTGATACTGTGATATTTTTCTTTTACTTGTTAGAGTGGAGAAAAAATCAATACAGAAAAAAATATATACATAGTTCCCATACAAAATGTTTTACCTGTTTACGGTGCTCATCTGTCTGTTTCATCACCTGATTTCCTATGTACGACATATTTTAGATACATTGATCCTTATATGGGTAGCAAAATGTAAAATGTGCAATTGTTTTAGTTTGTACAGAATAGAAGTGCATAATTTTGTACAGAATCAAAGAGCATCATGAGAGATTATTTTTTAAATTAAAGACAGCTGCTGAAGTGAGTGTCAACATTCGCTTTTATTCAGTATGCCCATACGACTGGTCACTCTAGTCATAAAAGCAGAAAGACTGATTTTCTGTTGTCTGGTGTGTGCCGAGTCTGAGAGCCACCATAACTGACCACTATTTGATAGCTGCTGCATTGCAACTGTTTACCTACAGAGGGCAGTTCTTCTCTAAAGATCATATTTTGACATGCATAAAGCGCCTCTTTACATAGTGAATTATGTTAACCCAGTGGGATTGTGAGTTTTACTGAAAGATGCTTCATACAATATATTTCATTGCAGGAATTTTATACTCAGTGACAGAGCAGTGATGTACCTTTCATTCTGTCATATGATACTATTTCAATATTAACCTAGTATGTGGGATTTCAGCCATAAAACGCTATAATCTTTAACTTACACATCTATTAAAGATGAGACACACCTTCAACATTAAACACTAATCAGAGTTGAGTAGTAACATAATCCATGTCCTCAGCTCCACGTACAGAATGGCTGGATTCGTACTGCTCTGAAATTTTTTAAACGATAACATTTTACTACTCAAGTATACAAAAAAACTCCAGCAGCACTGCTGTGTCTGATCCACTCGTACCAGCACAACACACACTAACACACCACCATGTCAGTGTTACTGCAGTGCTGAGAATGATCCACCACCCAAATAGTACCTGCTCTGTGAGGGTCCATGGGGGTCCTGACCACTGAAGAACAGGGTAAAAGGGGGGCTAACAAAGTATGCAGAGAAACAGATGGACTACAGTCTGTAACTGTAGAACTACAAAGTGTACCTATATAGTAAGTGGAGCTGATAAAATGGACAATGAGCGTAGAAACAAGGAGGTGGTCATAATGTTATGCCTGATCGGTCTATATTATATATGATACACACTCAAAGACATGGTTCCTCATGGGTTCTTTAGTGAAGGTAATGATTCTATTTAGAAACCTGAGTTCTATATAGAACCATTCCAAGCTTAAATGGTTCTTTGCATGATGAAAGTGTTCTTGTTTTCTCTTGCAGGATTATGTATAGCACCCAAAGGCATTCTTCTATTGGTACAAGCTTAACGTAACATGAGCAGAACCCTTTTTAGTGCTTTTTAAAACCCTTTTCATAAAAGTTCTACGTAGAACCATCTACAGCACATTCTCCATCAAGCCTTTCATGATGCACACGAACCCTTTAATCATGCAAAGGGTTTTTTGAGTGTTCATGGTTCTAGAGCCCTTGAAGAGTCATTTTTTTAAGTGTGTATATTTGCAAATGGTTCTATACATCACAAAAAAGGGTTTGTCTATTGTTACAAGTTTGACATCATAATAGTAAAACTCTTTTTGGTGTACATGGAACCAAAAAAATGTTCTATATAGAACCATATACAACACATTTTTTCAATCAATCTGAGAACCATTTCACCATGCAAAGAACTATTTAAGCTTGGAATGGTTCTATATAGAACTGATTATTCTAAATAGAACCAGTTCCTTCACTAAAAACCCTTGAAGAACCATCTTTTTTTAAGTGTGTCCATTTCAACATCTTTTGGTTCAGCTTTGCTGCTGGTGATACTCATCACGTTGGACAAGCTTCAGTTCTTATGCTGATCGATGCTGGATGTACTAAGAAGTTACACATATTTATAGGGAACGTTTTTTTTTTTATTTAGCAATTTTTTGCTTTTTTGTTGTTTTTGTTTTACTTCTATTTGAGTATTTCATTGCACTAACAACACTTTACCTGCGAGTAGTTTAAGCTCCTCACCAAGTTTCTTAATAGCAAAAATTAAAGCAAAATAATTAATGTTATTAAAGGGTAACTCATTCAGAGTGGTTTGATGTGAAGTGGTTCATTAGAGAGAAAGTTACAGACTCAGATCTTTTTACAGTGGTTGTGATGGGAACCAGGAGTCACAATGTCTACAACACAAATATAGTCATTTTATTTACTGTCCAAGACTTACTGGTGAAAATTAAACAATGCAAAGACAATAGCTGAAAATGTAAATAACTTGTAAAACAGTACAAACTGAAACAGTTGTTCCTTTAATTAAAATTAACCTCCGAAAAACCATTAAAAGTTGAATTGTCACGTTTTATTAGTGCTAATAACATTTATACCACCAGCCATAACACAACACTGTGCATGTTTATCCGCTCCACTGACCATATGGGTGCACTGTGTAGTTCTACAGTTACAGACTGTAGTCCATCTGTTTCTCTGATACTTTGTTAGCCCCCTTTAGCCTGTTCTTCAGTGGTCAGGACCCCCATGGACCCTCACAGAGCAGATACTATTTGGGTGGTGGATCATTCTCAGCGCTGCAGTAACGACATGGCGTGTGTTTAGTGTGCGTTGTGCTGGTCTGAGTGGATCAGACACAGCAGTGCTGCTGGAGTTTTTAAACACCTCAGCGTCACTGCTGGACTGAGAATAGTCCACCAACCAAAAATATCCAGTCAACAGTCCGTGGGCAGCGCCTGTGACCCCTGATGAAGGACTAGAGGATGACCAACACAAACGGTGCAGCAGCTGGTGAGCTATTATCTCTGACTTTACATCTACAATGTGGACTGACAAGGTAGGAGTGTCTAATAGAGTGGACAGTGAGTGGACACCGTGTTTAAGAACTCTAGCAGCACTGCTGTGTCTGATCCACTCGTACCAGCGCAACACACACTAACACACCAGTGCCCTGTGGGGGTCCTGACCACTGAAACAGATGGGCTACAGTCTGTCATTGTAGAGCTACATAGTGCTCCTATATGCCAAGTGGAGCTGATAAAATTCGTGTAGAAACAAGGAGGTGTTTTTAATGTTACGGCTGGTCGGTGTTTATTTTCTCCAACTGGATTTCTGACGTCAAAAGCGACCGAAACCAGCTGAAACGAGCCGTTGCGCGATGACGTCACCCCTAACGCCCCCTACCGGCCGCTGAGTGAAAACAACCCGAGAGAGGAGTTCAGCGGTGAAGATGGCGGAGAGCGAGCTGAACGTGGACAGTCTCATCTCTCGGCTTCTGGAGGGTGAGCGTTTGTGTGGGGTTTACGTTCATATTAACCGAGCCGCGGGTCCGATTCTGTTACACGGTGAACAGAAAGACGCTCTCGGTCGGTCCGTAGTGTCGCATTTCTCCTCGGTTTGTCAGCGCGGCTGGCCGCTGGTCGGTTAGCTCAACCGGCTAATGTTTACAAACAGGAGTTCAGCTAACATGGTAACGCAACTTCGTTTTCTGACAGGCTGGTCACTCGGCGGAGATTGACGTTAGACTACGGTCGTGTAGGAAAACCCTATAAGACATTTCCATAAGTGTTTACATGCTTAATTTTAAAAATATTCCTATTTCGCAGAGTTTCTGGATCACGGCTAATGTTACCCAGAAATTACGAGGCTGAATTCGGCTTCCAGTTCGAATTTTCCCGTTCCACCTTAAATGATGCCCCAGTTACGTTCTGGTGTTTCGTAGCTGGCTGGATAACTGCTGCACCATTTAAGGTGGAACGGGAAAATTCGAATAAGAACAGGACTTCAGTTTTGTCCTGAAGCGCACAGGGGAAACGTTAACTGACTTAACGCTACTAACCTTCAACTCGCATTGAAGAGCTATGGTCAAGTCAGAGATACGTGCAGAATCTGATGGTTATTTATTTTCATTATTATTATGGAATATATGACTAATGTGGGGGATGAAATGATCCAACATGTCGGCGTGTAAACTGCAGTGAAGCCGCATCTCATCTCAGAATGAGCCCAGGAACCGAACCCAAGTCCTCCTCCAGTTAAAAGCTGAAGCGGGTTTAGCATTCGAGTGTTCCGTTCCACCTTAAATAATGCAGAAGTTACGTTCTGGCGCCTTTGCAGTAGCACTGGACCTGCTGCAGCGTTTAAGGTGGACCGAAAATGTCAGGAAGCTGGCGGATAAAAATGTCACCCTCGTCTGTGAAAGGAGTCCAGGCATCTGCGAGGCTGGTTAGGAGTCCATGGCTCAGTTATAGGGGCTCTATTTTAGTGAAAACGGGCTTATTATATAAAAAATATATTATACTGAAGCTAAAAATGTTAAATTTGTTATTCTGTAGGAACATTATCCACACATACCTCACATTGGGGCTGATCTTTTTGACCATTTTGGATGAAAATGTCAGTTAATGGCTTATTTAGTGTGAAATCTGTCTAAATGTAGCCGGGGAAGGTGGCAGGTCAGTCTGGCAAAGCGCTGTCTGGTCATTGTGCTGACAGTCCAAACCATATGACACACACCTCAAGCTGGTGACAAACACTCTGCTTAACACACACACACAAGAGAATATGCTTCTCAGTAGCCTTCATAGCTCAGTGTTCCTAAACAGCATCACATCAACTCCACTCATTTCAATTAAATATTCTTGCTTACTAGTAAATAAACAAGGACAGAGGTGAGGGGAAAATGTAGTGGTGGTACATTAGAGGTAATGTAGAAATACACTTGCAGAAAAAAAGGTACCAAACTCTCACTGGGGCGGGACCCCTCTTGTCACTGGGGTGGTACCCTCAAGGGTACATCTCAGCACATTTAGTCAGGGAGCATAACTGAACCATAATCCATTGAAATGATGCTTTCTAAGCTGTACTGACTCCACACACCCCGTCTCGCCTCCAGGCTTATTTTATTGCTCTGTTTTAAAACATTCGGTTATGAAAATGTACAAATACCTACTTTTCACCTGGAAAAACTTGTTTAAGGTTCATAGTTGGACCTTGAAACCACTGTTTTACCTTTGAGGGAACATTTACATTGTTTGTACCTTAATGAACAAAAAAATGTACCTGCAAATAACCTCTATTTCTGACCGTGTAGTCAGGTTTTCATGATGAGATTTTTGTACAATGTGGAACATGCCCGTTTCTAGCGGAGAACAAACTTAACCGAGACACAGTTTGTGCTGCCATCTGTCGCTATCACTTCTCCAGCACTCCTGTAGCGCTCGCTGTGGCTTCACTCTCTCCGCTACACCATCTGCGGCTCTGTGTGACCCTGACACTCTTTCTTTATCTCTGCTTTTTGTACTTTAGTGTCCATCTCTGTCACCGGTGTGGTCGTTTTGTCATTTGACTACTTCACTCTAACCCACAAATGCCCTCACGTGTTCTGTTCTGTCCTCTTTCTCTTTCCTATCCCTTTCTTTTTCTCCCCTTCTTCTGTTCTCGTTTTGCTTGTCTGGTTCTCCTCCAGTCCACTCATGCTGTTTTCCTGCCTTTGGTTAACCTTCTCAAGCTCTCATCCTTTATCCTTTAGGTAGTTGCGTTTGGATAATGACTGCACTGCATCACTGTTTCCACTCTTGCCAAGGTTTTCATGCTGCTTTCAGTTGGAGATCAAACTGTTGTTTTCTCAGAAGGGAGACTCGTTCACACCTTCATTTGATTTATTATGGAAGTAAACAAAACATGCAGGTTGTAAAATGGTTGTTGTTCTTAATTATCCAGCAGTCAGCCAGGATCTGTCATGTTCACAGTGTATTTTTAAACACAAGCGTAGCACAAATGAAATGTGGGTTAAATTTACATATTTATTGATTACATCATTAGACATTTAATATTTAATAATAAGACCACACAGTATTATCATGGATGCTTTGAAATGCCTCCGCTGCATTTTAGGCTACGTTCAAGCCTTCAATACAAGCCTCATTGCTTAAAAAACATTGCTTAAATCCGATTTTTTGCTCAAATCCGATCTGTCTGACACGATGATTCACACTGGTTTAGGTAAGTGATTCAAATCTGTTATCAGTGTGAACGAACCAGCATCCTGAAACGTCCTGCATGAGCACATCTTACTCAGTAACGTCACATGAATGAATCACGTGCATCATCCGCAAACAGACTAACGAGCAGAACGAGCTTCGCTGAGAACATAGTTAACTCTGATCAGCTCTCAGCTTCGTTATTAGAGCGAGACGAAGGAGAAAAAGGTGAGATGAGCTGCTTTTCCACCGTTTACAGGCTTTAACTTCTGTTTGGCGCTGCTGCCATGGTAACGCTGAATGATGGAGCACGCGCAGTGAAAAAAAGCACATGAATTCTGATCTGAGCGTCACATTAAGGTCGCACGGCCACGAATCGGATATGTATCTGATCTAGGCCTACGTTCACATTACCAGGTTGAAGTGGCACAAATCAGATTTTTTGCCCTAATGTCACTCAGATCTGATGTTTTCAGGACTGTGTGGACACAAATCTGATCTTCTCAAATCCAACATGAGTCACTTTCTTATGTGGTCCTAGATCAGATATGTATCTGATTCGTGGCCATGCGACCTTAATGCGACGCTCAGATGGGAATTCTCATGCTTTTTTTTCTGCGCATGCACCATCATTCAGCGTTACCATGGCAGCAGCACCAAACAGAAGTTAAAGCCTGTAAACGGTGAAAAAGCAGCTCATCTCACCTTTTTCTCCTTCGTCTCGCTCTAATAATGAAGCTGAGAGCTGATCAGAGTTAATTATCTTCTCAGCGAAGCTCGTTCTGCTCGTTAGTTTGTGCTGATGATGAACGTGATTCATTCACGTGACGTTACTGAGTAGGATGTGCTCATGAGGGTCATTTCAGGACGCCGGTTCGTCACATTAATGACAGATTTGAAATACTTACCTAAACGAGTGTGAACCATCCTGTCAGAGAGATCGGATTTGAGCAAAAAATCGGATTTAAGCAATGAGGCTTGTAATATGAACATTGCCTAGGACCACATATGAAAGTGGCTCTTTTTTTTTTTTGAAAAGATCAGATTTGCGTGTCCACACAGCCCTGAAAACATCAGATCTGAGTCACATTAGGGCAAAAAATCTGATTTGTGCCACTTCAACCTGGTAATGTGAACGTAGCCATAGTGAACAAGCTGCAGTTTCGCCAGAGATTTTGGAGATATGCAGAGGCTGGTTTCACAAACTATGCTGTTGCATTGTGATCCCATAGTTTATTTGATGTTTGTACAGCTGTTTTGGTGCGTTGTTGGTCATAGCACCTTTACAGCTCATGGTAACGGTCACAGTGTGACCAAGGGTCTACCATACAGCCCCCCCAAAAAATGGATGCCCATTAGGACTGTTGAAAAAACAGGATTCCAGGAATGAATGAAGACTCCTGTGCCATTATACGAAGTACCATCAGGGAAGATTTTTCACATACACACTCAGAAAAAAAGGTACCAAACTGTCACTGGGGCAGTTCCCCTCTTGTCACTGGGGTGGGACCCTCAAGGGTACATCTCAGTACCTTTAGTCAGGGAACATAACTGCACCATAATCCACTGAAATATGTTCTAAGCTGTACTGACTCCACACACCCCGTCTCGCCTCCAGGCTTTTTATTTTATTGCTCTGTTTTAAAACATTCGTTTATGAAAAGGTACAAATACGAACTTTTCACCTGGAAAAACTTATTTAAGGTTCATCATCAGACCTTAAAACCACTGTTGTGCCTTTTATGGTACATTACATTGTTTGTACCTTAATGAACGAAAATGTACCTGCACAGAACCTTTATTTCTAACAGTGTACCGAAAGCTTCATAATGTATAACCACCAACACATTCTCGCTATTAAAATAATAAAAATAAACACTACATGTATGTGCATGTTTTTCTTCATACATATAGTTTTTTTTTCTTTGCTCACTGGTGATAAAAATGACTAACAGCTCAGCTCAGCTTGTTTGTGTTGCATCAAAAATTTACCTGCCTTCATCTTCTGACTTTGATCATGGTGTTTATGTACTGCCTCCTGATGGGATGCTTGATTTTCTGATAAAATGAGACCACCTGAAAGCGCCATCAGTCTCTGCTCTTTAAGGAAACTACTAATAATGGCTGATATGGAGAAAGAGATGTGTATAAACCCCTGTATCCGTCAGTGATGTGGGGCATTTAGGGCTAGTTTCCTGGCCAGGGATTAAGACAAGTTTTAAATGGAAATTGTCTATTCAAAATTATGTTTAGTCAAGGACTAAACTTAATCCCTGCCCAGGAAACTGGGCCTTACTGTT